GGGTATTATGGGTAATGTGTGTGTACTGGGTATTATGGGTAATGTGTATACACTGGGTATTATGGGTAATGTGTACACACTGGGGTATTATGGGTAATGTGTGTGTACTGGGTATTATGGGTAATGTGTGTGTACTGGGTATTATGGGTAATGTGTATATACTGGGGTATTATGGGTAATGTGTATATACTGGGGTATTATGGGTAATGTGTACATACTGGGTATTATGGGTAATGTGTACACACTGGGGTATTATGGGTAATGTGTATATACTGGGTATTATGGGTAATGTGTATACACTGGGGTATTATGGGTAATTGTGTGTGTGTATACTGGGGTATTATGGGTAATGTGTACATACTGGGGTATTATGGGTAATGTGTACATACTGGGTATTATGGGTAATGTGTATATACACAGGGGTATTATGGGTAATGTATACACACTGGGGTATTATGGGTAATGTGTACATACTGGGGTATTATGGGTAATGTGTACATACTGGGGTATTATGGGTAATGTGTATACACTGGGGTATTATGGGTAATGTGTATATACTGGGTATTATGGGTAATGTGTATACACTGGGGTATTATGGGTAATGTGTATATACTGGGTATTATGGGTAATGTGTACATACTGGGTATTATGGGTAATGTGTGTATACTGGGTATTATGGGTAATGTGTACACACTGGGTATTATGGGTAATGTGTATATACACACTGGGTATTATGGGTAATGTGTGTACACACTGGGTATTATGGGTAATGTGTGTATACTGGGGTATTATGGGTAATGTGTACACACTGGGGTATTATGGGTAATGTGTGTACACACTGGGGTATTATGGGTAATGTGTACACACTGGGGTATTATGGGTAATGTGTGTATACTGGGGTATTATGGGTAATGTGTACACACTGGGGTATTATGGGTAATGTGTACACACTGGGGTATTATGGGTAATGTGTGTGTACTGGGTATTATGGGTAATGTGTATACACTGGGTATTATGGGTAATGTGTACACACTGGGGTATTATGGGTAATGTGTGTGTACTGGGTATTATGGGTAATGTGTGTGTACTGGGTATTATGGGTAATGTGTATATACTGGGGTATTATGGGTAATGTGTATATACTGGGGTATTATGGGTAATGTGTACATACTGGGTATTATGGGTAATGTGTACACACTGGGGTATTATGGGTAATGTGTATATACTGGGTATTATGGGTAATGTGTATACACTGGTGTATTATGGGTAATGTGTATACACTGGGGTATTATGGGTAATTGTGTGTGTGTATACTGGGGTATTATGGGTAATGTGTACATACTGGGGTATTATGGGTAATGTGTACATACTGGGGTATTATGGGTAATGTGTACACACTGGGGTATTATGGGTAATGTGTACATACTGGGTATTAAAGGGTAATGTGTATATACACAGGGGTATTATGGGTAATGTATACACACTGGGGTATTATGGGTAATGTGTACATACTGGGGTATTATGGGTAATGTGTATACACTGGGGTATTATGGGTAATGTGTATATACTGGGTATTATGGGTAATGTGTATACACTGGGTATTATGGGTAATGTGTATACACTGGGGTATTATGGGTAATGTGTATATACTGGGTATTATGGGTAATGTGTGTATACTGGGTATTATGGGTAATGTGTACACACTGGGGTATTATGGGTAATGTGTGTAAAACTCAAGTATTCCTAGCTATTGCTATAAATAGCTGCTAACCCAGTTAAAGGAACACTATAGTCACCTAAATTACTTTAGCTAAATAAAGCAGTTTTAGTGTATAGATCATTCCCCTGCAGTCTCACTGCTCAATTCACTGTCATTTAGGAGTTAAATCACTTTGTTTCTGTTTATGCAGCCCTAGCCACACCTCCCTGGCTATGATTGACAGAGCCTGCATGAAAAAAAAACTGGTTTCACTTTCAAACAGATGTAATTTACCTTAAATAATTGTATCTCAATCTCTAAATTGAACTTTAATCACATACAGGAGGCTCTTGCAGGGTCTAGCAAGCTATTAACATAGCAGGGGGTAAGAAAATCTTAATTAAACAGAACTTGCAATAAAGAAAGCCTAAATAGGGCTCTCTTTACAGGAAGTGCTTATGGAAGGCTGTGCAAGTCACATGCAGGGAGGTGTGACTAGGGTTCATAAACAAAGGGATTTAACTCCTAAATGGCAAAGGATTGAACAGTGAGGCTGCAGGGGCATGTTCTATACACCAAAACTGCTTCATTAAGCTAAAGCTGTTCAGGTTACTATAGTGTCCCTTTAAAATAAGCGAGGAGGAGTTCCAATAATTATATGATGCAACAGAGTCAGAGGTATAAAGAAAGTAAAGTGTTCCTGTGGAATATATTACCAGTCCTTCACAGGCAGCAAGACCCATATCGCAATTGGTGGTTTAACCTGGATGATATCCTTATGGAGGCTGATAATTTAAAAAACTTGTGCTTGTATTCAGATACTTTTGTAGCAGATGGATCCATTAAATTCCAGACTCCCAGCCTCAGTGAAGGTTTCTTAGAGCAAGCAGTACGCTTTTAGTGAACACTGTAGTCAATTTTCTGAAACTCTGTTGCTATTAGCCTTATCACCACTTCAACTTGTTTCACCTGATCTCAGTTTCTTAAAGGTGTAGTCTGTTTTCTGCTGGGGCAGAACTTTTCCTGTGCTTAACTCCAGGGTTGCAATGTTATGTTTTCATCCTTTTTTTAATTCCAAGTCCTATAATTATATCAGTTATATATTTGGATTGAATGTGCTAAACTGATTGTGGAATTGCAAAATATAAAGGAAATGCTTTCCAAAAATTGGTTCCTGCAAAGTTTGCATCAAACATTTTTGAAATGCAGTCTGCAGCCATTCAGTCTGCTCAAGCCTCTGCTTCCCTAATCCGGCTAAGAAAAAGCCTAAATCATGGGTATTGTCTTACGCAGGCTCTGTATATATGTGGACAGTCTCTCTTCGGCTAGTAAAGATGGTAACCTGTAAGTACTAGCCTCCATGGGAAAATATTTATTCCTCATGTTACTGGGCTTGACTTCAATGTCTGGTACGGCTGCAGGCCTCTTGATCGTGGGACATATCCACCATAGTCATTTTGTACCCTGCACTGCCCCATATATGGGATTAAATGGTT